TTATCAAAGGACTATTGTGCCATTGACAGTGATTCTGCTTGTCATTTTGGGGCCATCCATGTAAGATACACTCAATCTACATTGGTAGCTGGTGTGTCCATGGGAATTTCTCATGGGTACAGGCATCTGATCGCTCCTTCATGACTAGCAGTGTGGTCGTTTGCATGTTGAGATGTGTGTCACTGCATTGTATGTTGCCTTCTTTGTATATTTTATATATGTATATATCACCTACTTTTCTGGATTTGGGGCATGCTGGTGAAATTCTACAGCTCTGGATTGATTTTCCAACCACAGAGATGCTCCTGGTCAAACACATCATCAGGCTTATCATCAACAAATAATTTTCCTGAGTGTATAGATATTACCATTGGGCAAGGTATTGATTTATTTGAAATCATCTATGCATATAGGTTCTATAATCTGTGAATTTCACTTCAGGAAGGCAAAAAGGCCTGATAAACTTCTTTTAAGAGGGGCCATTGTGTCTGGAGGGCCAGGGACTCTCCAGCACCCCATGGCAGGAGGTGGTATGTACACAGCAAACCCGAAAATGCACAGTGCACTAGGGAGTGAGCAGGGCCCACACCTGTCCCAGTCACAGCCCGGCTTAATCACCACACTGCACGTAATGATCACGTTGCCGCCATGCTCTGCAAGCAGCTGCAGGAAATCAGAGTGGCTGAGGGCACGCTCTTCTCTGAGTTGCTGGAGTCAACTTTGGCTTTGATTTACAAGAGCTAGCAATTGCGCCAAGTAGATGACAGATCAACAGAAGTCTTTCCATTTGCAAGCACCTGGGAAAACCTCCTAATAGGCCTACTACACTCTTGGCACTTAATGAATATGGAACAGAAGTTCGTTTTGATTGAAGTAGGAGATGCCAGTCTATTTTTTCTGGGTTTTAGAGGGAACGCTGATGAAATTCTACTCTTCTGGCTTGATTTTCTAACCATAGTGATTTTCCTGGTCAAACACATCATCATCATCATCATCATCACCACCACCATCATCATCGATGCTTTTGCTGAGAGTTTAATTACCATTCATAGCTGCAGTGCATAGACAGCTCATCTTGATAGCACTGAGGATGATCACTACAATTTATATTATCCAGCTCACTTTTTCAACATTCAACAGAAGTCTACTGACATCTACTCTGAGCTAGTCTGTGCCAGGTACAACTCAGAAGATATAGGCACCTCTATAATGAAGTTCACATGTTCAGGAAAGAATGGATATTAACAAATGATTACACAACTATGTGTGCAGCTGATTTAATTATTAAAAAGAGGAAAGGTTTTTTATTGAATTTCCCATTGGTACCTGAACTCAGCTTGTTACCCCCAAACTTGCTTCTCCCTGAAAGTCCTGATCTTAGTTATCTGGACTTCTCTCCAACTGATTCTTCAGAAAACTGAGTCATCTTAGCTATCAATTCTTTCTCACTTCCCGCTCCTGACACCCAGTTAATCACCAAGGACTGCTAATTTCACCTCCCAAATGTTGTTCTAATGTGTCCTTTCTTCCTTGGGCCCACACATCTCTTCATCACCAGCCTGGACCCTTTTAACAACTCTGTGACATGTCTCCCCAGTCTTCAGTCCTGCCTGGGTATCAGTCAGGATTCAGGTACAGAGAATGGCATCCACTCCATCCGGTCTGAAGAGAAGGTAATTTGTTGGAGGGCACTAAATGGTTTACAGAATTGCTGGAAAAGCTGAAGAAACACGTTGAGCTTTTGAAAATGGCTTTGGAGCCACATCGCAGAACCTGGATACCAAGGGAACTACAGCCTCTTTTATGATCAGGAAGCTGCTTGCCAATAGAGAAGCTCGTGCTTCAGCTGCCAGTTCCAGAACCGTGGCTCAGCTGCCATCATGGGGATGCCAGTGTGATCAGGAAGCCATGACAATTAGCAAACAGCCATAATTAGAAGCAATCTTGATAGAGAAACCCCTGCAGAAACCCCGCCATCTCCACGCACAGCATAACCAGCAGAAGCCCAGCCCCTGTTTGGTTTCCACCTTCTAGACCTTGGACAGGTATTTCCGATTGAGAAAAACATAAATCGGATCCAGGGTCCTCGTCATGATGGGGTCTCAGGAGTGTAGCTTGCAGCTTTCTGGCTCCTGCAGAGCTGCAGTAGGGGAAGCCTCTCCAGGGGAGGGTTGGAACAGATGTGCAAAGTTCCCAGGCCCATCACACTCCTTTTAAAGTCACCAGTTATGAGTCTACAAGCTATCAATTCTTTCTCACTTCCTGCTCCTGACACCCAGTTAATCACCAAGGACTGCTAATTTCACCTCCCAAATGTTGTTCTAATGTGTCCTTTCTTCCTTGGGCCCACACATCTCTTCATCACCAGCCTGGACCCTTGTAACAACTCTGTGACATGTCTCCCCAGGCTTCAGTCTTGCCTGGGTATGAGTCAGGATTCAGGTACAGAGAATGGCATCCACTCCATCCGGTCTGGAGAGAAGGTAATTTGTTGGAGGGCACTAAATGGTTTACAGAATTGCTGGAAAAGCTGAAGAAACACGTTGAGCTTTTGAAAACGGCTTTGGAGCCACATCGCAGAACCTGGATACCAAGGGAACTACAGCCTCTTTTATGATCAGGAAGCTGCTTGCCAATAGAGAAGCTCGTGCTTCAGCTGCCAGTTCCAGAACCGTGGCTCAGCTGCCATCATGGGGATGCCAGTGTGATCAGGAAGCCATGACAATTAGCAAACAGCCATAATTAGAAGCAATCTTGATAGAGAAACCCCTGCAGAAACCCCGCCATCTCCACGCACAGCATAACCAGCAGAAGCCCAGCCCCTGTTTGGTTTCCACCTTCTAGACCTTGGACAGGTATTTCCGATTGAGAAAAACATAAATCGGATCCAGGGTCCTCGTCATGATGGGGTCTCAGGAGTGTAGCTTGCAGCTTTCTGGCTCCTGCAGAGCTGCAGTAGGGGAAGCCTCTCCAGGGGAGGGTTGGAACAGATGTGCAAAGTTCCCAGGCCCATCACACTCCTTTTAAAGTCACCAGTTATGAGTCTACTTAGAAATCTGACCATGTGGCCCTACTGCTCAAACCCTGTCAATGGCCATCCCTAAAATCAGGTCCAAGGGTCTTTGTCTATCTTTTCTCTCGTATCATAACAGCCATTCACACCTGACTCTCTGATGGCACTGGGGGTGTTCTCTGTGCTCTGTCGGGGTCCCCGTCTGCTCCTGCTGTGCCCTCTGTCTGGAGTGCATGCCCCACCTGACCTAACTTTACTCGTCCTTCCAGATTCAGTTCAGGGGAACCAGCAAACCCTTCTTGAACTTTAGGGGCTCCCAATGCAGCTCCCTGGGCAGGCCTAGATCTTGAAACGATCCGCTCATATTTCTGCCAACACCATTAGATGCATATTCTCTTGCAACAGCAGCTGAGTCTCAGACCCCATGGACTATAGTCCTCCAGGCTCCTCTGTCCGTGGAATTCTCTAGGCAAGAATACTGGAGCAGGCTGCCATTCCCATCTCCAGGCATCTTCCCAACCCAGGATTGAACTGGGATCTCCTCATTGCAGGCAGATTCATTACCATCTGAGCTACCTGGTAAGTCCCAAATAAAAATCTGTTAGCCTGAAAGGAATGGTATCAAAGTAATGGCTTCATTTGGGGTGCCCAGGAATCAGACTTGGAGACCAAGTTTGCATACAGGACATTTTTTTCTCTTTTTAAGTTTTTAAATTGTGAAAGTATGACACATTTACAGGAGACTTGGGAAATACAGAACAGAGTTACATATAGTTCCACTATATGTTATTTTTTAAGTAGATAAATTAATATTTTTAGTTGGAGTTTCAATATCAAACTCTCAAAAATTAACAGAATGTATATACAGAAAGGTAGAAGGATATAGTAGACATGAAAAGCACCATAAACCAATTCAACATAATTAAGATTTATGCAATTTTCACACAATAGTAAGATAACAAGTTCTATTCAAGTTCCCATAGACTATAAGCTAGGAGACACTGGAACATAGCCAGGGTCATAAAACAAGGTTGCATGCAGGAAATTTATTAGAAATGTCCTGGGCATCAGTTTCTGCAGTGAAGGGTGTGTGAGTATGTGTGTCGGGGGCGGTAATTGAAGCAAAACTGGGCAAAGGGCGATGCTGGAGTGTGCTATTAGACCGCAGCCAATCCCACAGTGCGCTCAAGAGCTGGAAGCCCCTTTCGAGTTGTCCCCCTCTGAAGCGACAGAACTGGGCCTCTGTGTCCCCATGTCAAGCAGTTAATGGTAGAAAGAGGGTGTCACAGTGGGCTCAGCAGCTCCCTTCAGCTGAGGGCAATCCCAGAAGGTGACTACAGTAAGTCCACTACACACAATCAAGTTTCATTCTGAGAACAAGTTAGTAAGTCCTATTTGTTTGTAAGTCCAACAAATTTGGTCTAGGTATCCAACTAACACAATCAGCTGTGTCATCGCTGCTTTTATGCTCACTTCCGGACATCCTGGGCTTGAAATAAAGATACTGTACTGCTCTAATCTATATGATACTGTACAGTACAGTACTTTTGCTTTATTGACTATGCCAAAGCCTTTGACTGTGTGGATCACAAGAAACTGTGGAAAATTCTTCTAGAGAAGGGATTACTAGACTACCTGACATGAGAAATCTGTATGCAGGTTTAATCTGTAAGCAACAGTTAGAACTGGACATGGAAAAGCAGACTGGTTCCAAATCGGGAAAGGAGTACATCAATGCTGTATATTGTCACCCTGCTTATTTAACTTCTATGCAGAGTACATCATGCAAAATATTGGGCTGGATGAAGCAGAAGCTGGAATCAAGATTTCTGGGAGAAATATCAATAACCTCATGTACACAGATGACACCACTCTNAGAGGATGAGATGGTTGGATGGCATCACCAGTGCAATGGACATGAGTTTGAATAGGCTCCGGGAGTTGGTGATGGACAGGGAAGCCTGGCATGGCTGCAGTCCATGAGGTCACAGAGTCGGACATGACTGAGAGACTGGACTGAAGTATAGTACACAAAAGCACAGCCACTTGTAGAGGATGCACATATGTGACAGTGTACACCAGTCATGTGAACTAGCTTACGTGCCTGCACATGCAAACACACGTTAGCATCTTTGGAAGCTCGTAATTTAAAGGCTCGTATGTAGGCGACTTACTGTACATGAGTATGTTAACCAGAGTTTGATCACAGAAGATGAAGCTCTAGGATGGATATGTGGATAGAAGGAGGGAGGATGAATTCATAGATACATAGACAACATTTATAGTTGAGGTCATTAAAAAGAAGGAGCTGGCTAGATGAGATATTTATTAAAGGCATTTGACTTTATGCTATTGTGGAGACTTTTATGTAGTTCATGTGAGATTGTTGTTTCTTTTTGATGCTAGAGCCTGAAGTTTGAAAGACAGGCAGCCGAGAGAGAAGATGGAAGTGAAGGGGGGAAAGCAGGACAAATTGGAACCTGAGAGGTCGAGCTGGAACCCACCTCAGTTTCTCTGTCCAAGCTGCCATCTTAACTAACGGTGGTGAGAGAAAATAGCGCCCTTCATCATGGAGGTGAGAGCTGTGAGCCATGAACTCGCCCAACACCTGGAGAAGTGAATATCTCAGGGCTGAAAGCTGGAACCTGGGCAGACAGCCACAGCTGCCACTCCTGAGTGCTGCGCATGTGTACCACCCTTGTGTTTCATTCCCTCTAGGGCCTCGGTATCCAAGGATGACAGAATCTGGGCTGCAGGAAAAAGACAAAGAAACAAATTACAAAAAACGTATGACATGTTGTTATTTTCATGGGGAATATGGAAAGTGGGGTTTGGAGGATGAAAGTCTTATCCTAATTAGGATAAGAAAGTCTTATCCTAATTAGGGAACACTGATTTGCAAACAACATCTTCTCCTAGTTAGTGGTACATTTCTAGGGGAACTCGGAGAAATCTATTCGCTCTTTTTCTTCCAGTCCTTCCTGCTCCTCACCTTCATCAAAGATGGCACAGGGTGGCTTCCTCTCACTCCTTGCCCATGGTAAGGAGTCACCATTACTAATCAATCCTAGCATTCTTGCTCCTGAGGTGCTCAAAGAAGATTTCAGAATTCTTCTTAGCACAGCTTTCCAGATAGGCATACCAACTGGTTGACTAAAACTTAACAGTCATCCCTCTGCATAATCAATTCCAGTCATTTATTCCTAACTTATTGTTTCCCCTGAAAATTTGTTTCTCACACCATCTTTACCTACTGTCATCACAGAGCTAAAAACCCAGGACCCTACTCTCTGTTGTGTATCCCTGGCCTTAAAATCAGGTAGAGTGAAAGGATGGAGACTTTCAATCCTGTTACTCCAGCTACTTCGTTATTGCACAGTCTTGCTTCTTGGGGACCTGGATTTAGGACCCAAGATAAAAGCTAATGAGAACAAAGGCAAGTGTGAGGGGGATAGGCTCACCTGCCATTTCTGGAATAGAAACTGTTCTTAAGAAGCAGGCATTGTAAAGAAATTAGGGGAAAGGAAGGTTAAAATTAAAATGTATGCAAAAATATCAGGGAAACTTCAGCTTCCGTTAATAACAACTCTGAGGAAGATATCTTTAGAGGTGTGCCTTGCTTTCAGCAATGGATAGATAGGTAGTGAATTTTTATATTCAACCTGCTGGCTTAGATGATCATTTCAGAAACCTTGATGTTGGGTTTATTACCTTAATATTTTAACAATGCATTAATAGTGTGGTCCTCTGACCTTACTCTCCAATTAATTTTCTGTAGGCAAGCATTTACATGTTAAGAAATCTCTTTGTAAGGCAAATGACTCCTTTGTAGTGTAAATAACCCCCTCAGTTTATCTAATATTGATATCACCTGCTGCTCTAATAGAAATTTATATTTTTCAAGGCACGACCATGCTTAAACACATTTGATCACCTAAAAGACTCTGTAGGGTAAGTGTAGGGCCACTGTGGCTTCCAGGCTCTGAAGAAGAAACAGGAAGTGTGTTGTGAAAGTACTTTGTTTAACCAAGTTCACATGGCTAGTTAGTGACAGTTAAGACTAGATTCCATGTCATCCAACTTGTGGCCAGAACTAACTGTGTTTCAACTGGAGTGAACTATGTCAAGTTACATGTCAGCTCATTTATTTTTTGACGTGACATCAGCTGTATCAAGTTCTCTGAGTTCAAGCCTATTCTAAAATGATCTGCTTCCAGAGGAATTAAGTAGTAGCTTAATTTATTTTAATTTAGTAGCTAAGTCATGTCTGACTCTTGCAACCCCATGGACTACAGACTCCTCTGTCCATGGGATTTCCCAGGCAAGAATACTGGAGTAGGTAGCCATCTCCTTCTCCAGGGGATCTTCCTGACCCAGGGATCAAACCCAGGTCTCCTGCATTGCAGGCAGTCTCCTGCATTACAGGTGGATTCTTTACCCACTGAGCCACCAGGGAAGCCCCTTTTGGTGTTCATCAGATTTATTTGAGATGCTTCTTAAAAAGGCAGGTGGTGGGTCCCACCTCAAACCTGTCAAATCTGAATCTCTGGGGTGGCAGGAAAGAAGACATCTGCTACATGTAAATCCATGGCTAATTCATTTCAATGTATAACAAAAACTACTGTAATGATGTAAAGCAATTAGCCTCCAACTAATAAAAATAAATGGAAAAAAANCCCTGGAACATTTTTTAGACCTTCAGCAGAAGGTCCTATTTACAATGAGAAAGGTCTTGGGAATCAATGTTCGAGGAACCCAGAAGGCTATTATGGCAGGAGCAGTGCCATGGGCTCACCCACCCCACTTCTCATCTTGCTGGCAGCATCACTAGGCTAACCCCCAGGCTCCTTGTATGTAGGTGAGGTTGTAGACAAGTTCCCACATTGGAAGAGGAGAGGAAGCATGGATACAATAGAGGCAGTTAGGGCAAGGCTGCCTTTTTCAACTGATCTCTCTTTCCTCATTTGCTGAGTCCAAAGGATGGAGCGGAGAACTCCCAGCCTTGAGGGAATGCCACAGACATGAGGTGGAAGGAGCCTGGATCCCTCAATGACCAAGTGGAGCAGAGCCCACCACCTTCTCCACAGCCCCAGCCTCCATCCCACACTGAGCTCTGATGTCGATGAGGTCAGAGAAAGACAAAGTTTGGGGTGGTTTGTCAACAGCAGATAGCCTGTTCTCCAAGATGCTACTCTGTCTGTGATGATGAGCACACATTCTCTTCCCGGCTCTCTGCGGGGCTCCCTGGAGGCAATCTTGTGACTGAAAGGATGCATTTTTACTGCCTCAGGCCCACTTTCTTCCTCATCCCTTTTCAGCACTTAGACATCAGTTCTTTTCTGTTCCCTCTCTGCTCCTTGGAGCCTACACTAGTTTTCTAGTAGTTGAATATTGCCTGGAAAATGTTGATCACAATTAACCATCAATGGTAGGGCCAACTCATTTTCTACCTCTCTGCCAAAATTTAAATTCAATATATATAATCAAAAGGGAAGAAAGTAGGGACAAACCCTTGCAACATTAATTTCCAAGATGTGGTTCTCCAAGAGGCCTAATGGCGACCTCCTTTAAAAGGTCCCGTGCACACACTGCCACAATCAGGGCCCCCGACCCTGCAGCAGGCCACCACTGACCCACGCGCCTGCTGGAGACTCCTCAACACTCACGGGCAAGTCTAGGTCAGTCTCTTCTGGGGTCACGGCTCCTTTCTCCTGGGTCCTGGTGCGCACAAGGTTTTGTATGTGCCCTCCAAGAGTCTGTTTCCCCAGTCCTGTGTAAGTTCTGTAATTAAATCTCACTGGCCTCCAAAGTCAAATTCTCTGGGGGTTCTCAGTCCCTTTGCTAGATGCCCAGGTTGGGAAATCTGCTTTGGGTCCTGGAACTTTCTTAACAGTGCAAGAATTTATTTGGTATCGTTGTTCTGCAGTCTGTGGGTCATCCGCTCAGCGGCTCTAGTGACAACCTCCTCCAAGAGGGCTTATGCCACACCCAGGACTGCTGTACCCAGAGCCCCTGCCCCTGCAGCAGGCCACTGCTGACCTGGACCTCCTCAGGAGACACCCAAACACTCAAAGGCAGGTCTGGCTCAGTCTCTGTGGGGTCTCTGGGTCCTGGTGCACATTTGCTTGAGCCCTCCAAGCCTCTCTGGTGGGTATGGGGTTTGATTCTAAACATGATTTTGCCCCTCCTACTGTCTTGCTGGGGCTTCTCCTTTGCCTTTGGATGTGGGATATCTTATTTTGGGGGGATCCAACATTCTCCTGTGAATGGCTGCTAGCAGTGAGTTGTAATTCTGGGGTTCTCACAGGAGATGATGAGACCACGTCCTTCTACTCCACCATCTTGCATCACCAACTCCATGGACATGAGTTTGAGCAAGTTCTAGGAGTTGGTGATGGATAGGGAAGCCTGGTGTGCTGCAGTCCATGGGACTGCAAAGAGTCAGAGATGACTGAGTGACTGAACTGACTGAAATGTTATACATGTGGAATAAATGTTGTCTTAAGTTCTTTTTCCCTTTAAAATCCTCCAGCAAATACAATAACAATTGTAGGAAGCTTTTCAAGGACATATTCAATGAAAAAATGCAACAGAAATGTTACTTGACTTTACAATACGATGCCAGTATGAAGTGAAAATATGAAAAAAGTTGACCTTCTTATTTTCTTTGATCCCTTATAATAAATATCTGATTTGGAAATTTATAGTTCAAAAATAGATTCAAAAAATCACTAGCGCCCCTTTTGCTCTCAGTGCAATTTCTTTGTCCAGGATATTCATTGATAAAGATGTTAATAGAAAAGGAGTNCTTGATGAAAGTGAAAGAGAAGAGTGAAAAGGCTGGCTTGAAACTCAACATTCAAAAAGCAAAGATCCTGGTGTCCAGTCCCATCACTTCATGGCAAATAGATGGGGAAACAATGGAAACAGTGACAGATTTTATTTTCTTGGGCTCCAAAAATTACTACAGATGGTGACTGCAGCCATGAAATTAAAAGATGCTTGCTCCTGGAAGAAAGGCTATGACAAACCTAGACAGCATATTAAAAAGCAGAGACATTACTTTACTGACAAAGGTCTGCCTAGTCAATTATATGATTTTTCCAGCAGTCATGTATGGATGTGAGAGTTGGACTATAAAGAAAACTGAGCACCAAAGAATTGATACTTTTGAACTGTTGTGTTGGAGAAGACTCTTGAGAGTCCCTTGGACTGCAAGGCTATCCAACCAGTCAATCTTAAAAGAAATCAGTCCTGAATTTTCATTGGAAGGACTGATGCTGAAGCTGAAACTTCAATACTTTGGCCACCTGATGCGAAGAGCTGACTCTTTTGAAAAGACTCTGATGCTGGGAAAGATTGAAGGCAGGAGGAGAAGGGGACAACCAAGAATGAGATGGTTGGATTACATCACCTACTAGATGGACATGAGTCTGAGCAAGCTCTGAAAGTCGGTGATGGACAGGGAAGCCTGGCGTGCTGCAGTCCATGGGATCGCAACGAGTTGGACATGACTGAGCGGCTGAACTGAAGAGGCCTCATGAGAGAAGCTAGATGAAAGCCTGCCGCTGAAACTCACCTGTTCAGGAGACCCATTTCCCAGGGCTTCTCTCATACTCAGGTCCCGTCCTCAGCCCCAGGTGGTCTGAAAGGAAGACTCCAGGGGCCAAGGATCCATCATCAGCTGGTGGTAGAAACTGCATTTGGGAAGGCTGTTCTTGTGCTCGGCCCAGTCATTGTGGTCTCTGGAGCTCTTGGTGTGCTGGCATCAGATATAACATGCTTGGTGGGCAGAGATAGCAGGGAGAGATGCCTCAGGCTCCATCACCTAGGAGTTGTGTGGCGCTTGAGTGTGTTAATCAGCCTTTCTGGGCTTCAGCTGCTGCATCTAACAGGGGCTGTGTTAGCTCCTGCCTCACAGGTGTGTTGTGAGAATTCAGGGAAACCATGCCCACGAAAGGCTCAATGCCTGAATACCTAGCAAGTACCAAAACATGTTAGCTGTGGTGGAAACTTGGCCTGGGGCTGTTATATCATCTGAGCTCCTTCCACTTCTGCTTTTGATGACTGAGCAGTCTGCTCTATCGGAAGACTTTGTCCCCAGCAACAGCAGCAGATCTATAACTTTCTAGATGTTCAGAGATAGAAGGGACCTTTGGGAAACCCCTCATACAGGAAAGGGGCCCACGGATGGTGAAGGGGTGCCCCAGTGATGCCACGGTGCTGGCAACATTCCTCCTGCCACCTCACCCTTCCATGGGGTGTTTCCTACAACCCTCATGCTCTGATACCAGGTTTCTGGGTTTGAGTCCTGCTGCTTCTACTGCTAACAGCACGGTCACAGGAAGATCCTCAGTCCCACCACGGCCTAGTGGAGCCGTATCTGCACAGTGGGGAGAGTAGCTTACACCTCGTGCAGCTGTGAAACACGGATGGTGAAGGGGTGCCCCAGTGATGCCACGGTGCTGGCAACATTCCTCCTGCCACCTCACCCTTCCATGGGGTGTTTCCTACAACCCTCAGGCTCTGACACCAGGTTTCTGGGTTTGAGTCCTGCTGCTTCTACTGCTAACAGCACAGTCACAGGAAGATCCTCAGTCCCACCACGGCCTAGTGGAGCCGTATCTGCACAGTGGGGAGAGTAGCTTACACCTCGTGCAGCTTTGAAGAGAAGTGACGGGAGCCAGCTCTTGTTCATGGAAAGGCCTTGGGGAGTGCAGATTGTGCTTAGCGATCCAAGCGCATGGGACACAGGCTGCGCTGCCTTCACCTCGAGGGCCCCGAGGACTTCAGAGAGCCCCCGGCCCCAGCTCTGCTGACTTGTCACGCTCCACGGCCACGGTTGACCCATCACCCTAACAGTCTTTAGCGGTTCTAGCAAGTTCTCCCCGGCAGCTCCGCTGAGTGGCACAGCCTAACCTTGTCTGTTAGCTTCACAGAATCAATCTAAAACGACTCCACGAGGGTGACCGGTCAGAATTAGCAGTCATTTCTGAAGGACAAGAAAACAGAGAACCAGACAAAGTAAACCCTGTGTTGCCTGTGTGTGTCGCGTCAGCGACAAAAGGCAGTCAGGGTTAAGCTGTCCCTGGGTCTGCTCGGGACCCAGGAGTTGTTTGTCTGAAACCCACCTCCACCCCCCAACACCCCTGCCCTCACACTTCTGACCCCAGACACCCCCGATGAGCTCGGGCCCAGAGTTCTAAGCTGGAATTCCCAGGACTTCATCTTGCTTTGACGTGTCACAGACAGAATGCCCTGAAGTTAAAAAACCGTAACAGAGTCCCCAGAACTCCCCGTCAGCAGAAGGGGAGGAACAGATGGCTGGGGATGAGCGGAGGAGAGGGAAGNGCTTTGACGTGTCACAGACAGAATGCCCTGAAGTTAAAAAACCGTAACAGAGTCCCCAGAACTCCCCGTCAGCAGAAGGGGAGGAACAGATGGCTGGGGATGAGCGGAGGAGAGGGAAGAATCCTTCTAGAAACACTCCTAAGCTGTACTTGGTGATCAAAGGAGGAACCGCAGTAGCGGTAAGACACTTGAGCTAGATTCCCAGAAGGTGCAGATTGGGAGGGTGGGCTCAGCCTCCTGGAGCCCATCTTATTGGCGATCGCCCGAGGCCCCTGAGCAGGAGTTTTCTTAGAGGAAATCAACCCCGTGTCTCAGTGCCCGTCTCAGCCCCGTTTCCCAGGCTTCTGGGAAGCCAGCTGAGGAGCCAGCTGCTCATCCTTTCCACTCCCACCACATCATGCTGGTGTGACCCCTTCAGGAAAAGCCTGCAGGCCCACGGAATTGCAAGCAATTCCTCTGCCCCAGGTTTCCTCTCTCTCCCTCCCTCCCTGTTTCTCTGACTTCTGAAGTGGATCGGCCTCTTTCGGAGGCTAAATGACAGCTGTTCTTCCTGGGCCCCCACCCCCGCCCAGTCCGCGCTATGCCAGGCTGAGCAGACCTCGTCTGGTGGAGATATGTGTGGCCCCTGGGGTCAGGGCAGACTCGTCAGAGACTCTGATGACAGCGCCAGGGAGCATGTCTTGGGGCCCTTGTGTGCTGAGATCAGACTGTGGAGCTGAATGAACAGAAATGGAAAACTTGCCACTTTCGACCTCATCGTATGCAAATGTCATCTCCCCATTTTGAGGGCACTGCCTCCGGCTCCCCCTGCCCTGGAAGCAGTGCATGTCCTAGGCTGAAATCAGGAGGGGTATTTTCAAGGTGTGGAGATGTCCCCTCCCCTTCCCTCACCCTGTGCTTTAAAATCAGTGATTCAGGACTATGATTCTGGTTAGAAAGGATGTTAAGTCACGTGGCCAGCATATCAAAGTAATCCCAAGGCTTCGGTAGCAAGTAAAAAGCAGTCTCTGAGGAGGCCTTGAATCAGCAGGCTGGGATGTGATCCTCAGCACGAGCTCCTGGTGGGACACCTCTCCACCGCACGCATTGTGGGCACTTTGTAAAAGAGAAGAGGACAGAAGCCCAGGACAACTCCAGGATTGTCTCGATTTTGTTAGCTAAGACGAGATAAGCGAAACATCCTCTCTAAAAAATTCAATTATTTTTTTTCCTGGCTAATTCGTTTATCCTTGTTTATCACGGAGTCTGAGACATCAACTCTCAGTGGGCGGTGCTCCCCCAGCGTGATATTGTTGCACTAGGAAGAAACAAGCCTCCCGACCAAGGTCACCCATCAGTCACGTGCTGCCGCCAGACCCGCATCTCCTGGAGCGCTGCGTGGAAGCAGCTGGAGCAGGCTCGCAGCTGAGCCAAGCCTTCCGGGTTTGGGGAGCTCACTGCTCACCATGGCTGCAAGCCTTTTTCTCCAGGGCCCCTGCTCTGCGATCTGATACCCATCTTCCTTCCCAGCCAGTCTACATAGAAGATCTCTCCCTCCATCACCTGGCCCTCAGTTTAATAAAGGATGTTTGCAATTAAAAAGCCAGAGTAACCATTCATAGAATATTTGGAGAATACTGTAGCATGTAACCTTTGCCCAGGGCATCCCAGTGTTAGACATTAGTTAATTTCATCTCGGAACACTCTCATCACTCTTTCCTCTGCTGGCTCGGAGACTGTAGAATAAGCTACATCCAGTCAAGGCCACAGGAAAAGGCAATGGAGGATGAGATTCCTCTGATCCTAGCATTCAGCTTTCTAGGTCTTCTTGGAAAAGGCTGGATTCCAGATTTAGGTGTCTGAGAGTGGGGAGGTGTGAGGGAAAGTGGACTGTATCCTTGACTCAATTCAGAAGAACTGCAAACACCGGCCTCTGCCCCTTCCAAGCTGTGTGGCTTTGGGCACACTTCCCAGTTCCCTGAGCCTCAGTTTCTGCACCTGAAAAACATAAATCATAATAAATGCCACATAGGGATTCTGGAAGAACCACGTATAGGAGTATATATGAAAGTTTGCATGTGTGCATGCTCAGTCATGTCCAACTCTTTGTGACCCCATGGACTGAGGCCCAACAAACTCCTCTGCCCATGGGATTCTCCAGGCAAGAATACTGGAGTTGGTTGCCATGCCCTCCTCCAGGGGATCTCCCTGACCCAGGAATCGAACCCATCTTTTCTGCATTTCCTGCATTGCAGGTGGATTTTCTACTGCTGAGCCAAGGGGGAAGTCATATAAAAGTTTAGAATAATAGAAATGGTTGCACCCACTGAGTCACCTGGGCCTCAGGGATGCAGGTAATTTCTTCTTTTTTTCCCCCTGCTATTTCTTTTTAAAAAATTATTTATTTTATTTGGAGGATAATTGCTTTACAATATTGTGATGGTTTTCACCATACATCAACATGAATTGGCCATAGGTATACAAGTGGCCCCCCATCCTGAAGGTCCCTCCCACCTCCCTCCACACCCTATCCCAGAGCACTGGCTTTGGGGGCCCTGCTTCATGCAACAAACTCACACTGGTTATCTATTTTACATATGGTAATATGCATGTTTCAATGCTGTTCTCTCAATGCAAGTAACTTCTGAGGCTGCCTTCAGATTTCCTGGGTACAGCTAAGAAGTCAACTGAAAACTCCAGAACAGGCCAGAGCTAAAGTTTTCACCTTTAGATGGAGACGTGGCAAACTTTTGGTCTCTTCCCAAAACTCTCTTTAATGCATCTTAAAAAAATAATAATGACTTTCTAATATAGATTCACACGAGTTTCCAAACTCATTCCTCAGCATTCAGGTTTTCAAAGTCGAATTTCGGAAGCTGATTTCTCTCCTGGGAGTCTGCCAGGCATGCTGAAGCATCTCCTTCTGCTGCTGTGATGCGCCTCCATGGAGCCATCCCGGGCTCGCACAGACGGTCTGCTCACGATTGTGACCAAGTGACAGAGCAGTCTTTCAAGGTGTGCTAAATGAGAAACGTGCTATTTAGGCAAAGCATTCACATGTTTGAATGAAAGACGGGAACTGTGGAAGCTGCTGCCATGGACAGGAAATTGATGTCCGCATTGCTATTTACCTAGCAGAAATTAGTTCTCCAAGATCAGCCTTAGTGAAGGGGACAGGAGGGCTCATGTTTGGAGGAAGAATTCTCTGCTTCCCTCATCGTTTGCACTCCTCAGGTGCATCCCTTCTAGCAGGGTGATTCGTGGGTCTTTGCTAGGTATGCTGGGTAAATCTGATCCAAACTCCCACGCAGAGCATAAAGCAGCAGAAGTGTTAGCAGTGGAGGTCAAGGGACATCCAGCAGAGAGCCAGATCTCTCATGAGAATCTGAGATCTAAGCATAGTGCAACTGTAAACATACCTTGAGCAGAAGACTTAGTGGGAAGAGGCAGCCTGTTGACAATTAGCAGGGCTTATCCCGTTGGCTATAGCCACAGTTGGTAAAGAGGAAGGGGGTCCCTGGGGTGGAGGGAGCCCCTTGGCATGGTCCAGCATCCCCTGCTTCTCATAGTCCCCATCCTGGGACACAGGAGGGGCCCATGGCCCAGTGACTTTGAGGGGTCCCGCATGCTGGGAGGCTGATTGCTGAGTCCAAGTGTGTCTAGGACACAGCAAAGCTGGCAGGCACCTGGTTGAGACCTCTCAATCAGCCCTCAGGGAAGCAGTAAAGCAGACATGCTTTACTTTGCTGCAATTATCAAGCTTGAAACACTGTCTCTCTCTGTGTCTACAGCAGAAGAATGTTCAGCCACCAGTCCTGGCCACGTGCTCTTAGGGCCATCCGGGTCTCTGCGCACTGACTCTCTGACGGTGACAGTTTTTACGTCTGTCCCCCACATGCCAGACACAGGCACGCACCCGAGAGGAGCCTTATGGAAAAGTGACCCCAGTAGGTCTCCTTCCGGCATTCAGTCATCACAGCCCCTGGCTGTGTGTCGGTTCTCAGTGCTGTTGTAGCGGCTAAGTCCTATCTGACTCTTTGTGACCCCATGGACTGCAGCCCTCCAAGCTCCTCTGTCCATGGGATTTCCCAGGTAAGAATATTGGAGTAGGTTGCCATTTCCTTCTCCAGGGAATCTTTCCCACTCAGGCACTGAACCCACATCTCCTGCATTGGCAGGCAGAATCCTTACCACTGGGCCACCAGGGACGCCCTGTCCATTCTCAATAGGTCCTGGCTTTTGGCGGTGGGGGTATGCTAGGTGATGAACAGGGGGCGAGTGAGGTTGCTGAGTCCCCATTGGGAGTTTGCTGATGCCAGCTGCAGAAAAATGAACACATGTGCTAAAATTTGTATACAATATAAAGGGGTTCACACATTCTTTGGATTTCAGATTAAGAACCTCTCCTTCAGTTGTTTTCAAACTTAGGGAGGTGAGTAGACCTCTCTCACCTGTCCTTTTGGACCAGGACATCTGACAGCATTTTGGTAAAGCTAGTGATTATCTGCACACACAATCCCCATCACGTGGTCAGACTGAATGATGTTTAATGCTTGTCCTCTGCTATTTAGGGAAACACTTTTATGGGTAACAGGAGCCTCATCTATAAATGAATGGAGCCAGATCGTGGAGGGTGTGTGTGTGTGTGTGTGTGTGTATGTAGGAAGGCATCAAGATTTTTAAAAAAATCACCCTTCTCATCCATTAGAAAACAATGAAATCTGATGGGAATGGATTTTTCTTTTAATTTAGAACTTCAAGAATAAAAATGTAAACTGGATGTTCACAAACTGCTTCTTAAAACTGTCCAAGTGGCTTTACACTACAAGTCAGCACCGTCCCCTTCTACGCATGCTGCTGAAAACCTGCGATAGGGTAGTGCCTTTTCCTGGAAGCCTGGTTCCCCGGTGAGCTACAGAGAAACAGTCATGAAATACCTAAAGGGACTGCAATCCCTGGGCCAGAGAAAAGGCCTGCCGAGTGATTTCTTGCCTGCACCCGCACTGTTCCTAGGAGAACTAGGCATCCAGCAGCTCCAGCTTGTCGGCTGAAGATCCAGAACTCCAAGAGGAAAGAGCGCTCCAGGGCTGACGGCCCCTTTCTAAGGCAGCTATGTTTGAACTGTCTGCTCAGAAGAAAGAGAGATGGCTGAGAAAGAATGAACAGATCGGTAGTACAGAAGCAAAGTGCCGGGTGGAGAGGGGGGAAGGAGAGCAGCCTCAGTGCCCGGGGCCGGCGGGGCAGAGTCTCTGCAAAGGCCAAGTCAGCAGCTCCTCCCGCCTCACACTCTCCACTCAAGGCGGGGGCTGTCTGCCCATCAGGAGGTGGGGTCTGTTTGCCTTCCCCTAGAACTCCAGCTGACTTCTGACTCGCTTTTCAAGTCTGCCCAGCATGCATGGAGAGCGGTGTTGTGTGATGTGATGTCTGGGACAGGCCTTCAGTGGCCCCGCAGCTTCTGTTTCCAGCCCCTGGGAAGCCAATGACCATGTTAAGAGGCAAGAGCTAGGTTACAGAATGAGGACAGACCACAAGCTGGAGAGAATATATGTGACGGGAGCCGAGGGGCCTCGGCCCGCCGCCACCTGAAGCCCCAGACATGTACGTGAGATGTCTTGGATCCTCCAGCCCTAGTCCAGACACCCTGGGTGATAAGAAGGAAGAGTCGGCTCATTTTTAAGCCATTCCAGCTGAAGCCCCTGCTGGCTCAGTGGGTAAAGAATCTGCCTAAAATGCAGGAGACCCAGGTTCGATCCCTGGGTTGGGAAGATCCTCTGGAGAAGGAAATGGCAACCCACTCCATTATTCTTGCCTGGAAAATCCCATGGACAGAGGAGCCTGGTGGGCTATAGTCCATGGGGTCGCAAAGAGTTGGACACGACTCAGGGACTAAACTACCAGCAAAGCTGAAGCCCCAGACATTGCAAGACTGAGATAAACCATTCACCCTAAGCCCTGCCCCCACAGGGTCTTGGGAAAAAGGAAAAAGAGGTGGTTTTTTGAAATCATGAGATTTGGGGTAAATTGTTACACATCAAGAGATTGGAGATAAATAGTACACAGTAACCCTTGATCTGTCTTCGTTACCAGTTGCTATCAGACTACACTCTGGGTGGCCATATGTCCACTAAAAAACAGCTTCTTCATCTTCCTCTCCACTGACTTTCCCTCATCTTTCTTTCAAGTGACTGTGTGACTACATTCTCACCAATGAGATGGAGACTCTAGGAGAGCTTTCCAAAAAGCTGGCTGTGTCCAACCTCCCTCTTCACTTTGAACCTTTAGTCGCTGGTTTGGTGGTGGTTTAGTCACTAAAACCTGTCCAACTGTTTGTGACCTCATGGGTCGTAGCCTGCTAGGCTCCTCTGTCCATGGGATTCTCCAGAGGAGAATACTAGAGTGAGTTGCCATTCTCTTCTCCAGGGTATCTTCCCAACCCAGGGGTTGAACTAACATCCCCTGCATTGCAGGCAGATTCTTTACCACTGAGCCACCAAGGCCCTCAACCCCGCCCCTTCTTCTAGACTGGGACACAGACTCTGTGGTTGGATGGGCAGCAGCCACCTTGCAAACATGAGGACAGAAATCTCACCTCTGGATTCCTAATGATGTGGATGATGGCCTACTTTTGAAATTATTTCATGAGAAAAATAAGCCTTTTAATCATTTAAAGCAATATTACTAGATTTTTTTTTTTTTTTTTTTGCGGTTTTGTCATTGCTTTGCTGGTCTGTTGATGTTACTGTTCTGTTTACTCACATCAAACACATTTGTAATTTACATGTGACAAGATATCATGAGATCTAGCTGCATTTCTGCTCTTGCCTTCTGTGAGATACCTCTGGTGCCTAACAATTAAAATTTTTTTCCTTCCCCTAACGTGAGTAGATGCTTACTCCTTGGAAGGAAAGTTATGACCAACCTAGATAGTATATTAAAAAGCAGAGACATTACTTTGTCAACAAAGGGCTGTCTAGTCAAGCCTATGATTTTTCCAGTAGTCATGTATGGATGTGAGAGTTGGACTATAAAGAAAGCTGAGCACTAAAGAATTGATGCTTTTGAACTGTGGTGTTGGAGAAAACTCTTGAGAGTCCCTTGGACTGCAAGGAGATCCAACCAGTCCATCCTAAAGGAGATCAGTCCTGGGTGTTCATTGGAAGGACTGATGTTGAAGCTGAAACTCCAATACTTTGGTCACCTGATGCGAAGAGCTGTCTCTTTTGAAAAGACCCTGATGCTGGGAGGGATTGGGGGCAGGAGGAGAAGGGGACGACAGAGGATGAGATGGCTGGATGGCATCACTGACCCAATGGACATGAGTTTGGGTAAGCTCCGGGAGCTGGTGATGGACAGGGAGGCCTGGCGTGCTGCGGTTCATGGGGTCGCAAAGTTGGACACGACTGAGCGACTGAACTGAACTGAACATGAGTAGATTACTGTTGCCACTTTGCCAGCAATAAAGCAATCTCTGGCCAAGACAAGGATGGTACCAAGGCAGAGTTTTGCAAAGAGAGCATTCTTTCACACTGAAGACAAGGCCAGAGATCATCTTCCAGTAGCACAGGGGGTTAGGGCCATGACTTACTCGGGTCATGAGCCACTGGAAAGGTTGCCAGGGTTCTTTGAACAACTGCCTTCCTAAGAAATCACTTGAGAAGGGGAGTCAGCTGCCTTAGGGCCTGGGTTCATTGCATGTGGCCCTCCCTATAGGCAGGGGCATCAAGATGCTCACCTTGGATGTAAGATGCCGTGCCTCTGTGAAATCAACAGGCAGGTCAGGCAGACTTAAAGTCATACTTTGGGTCTCCATCTGCACTCTGGTGAGTCTTCAAAGAAGTCACCAGTTAATGGGAAGGCTGGGTACAGTCCTACTCTCTTATGCTTTGTGACCCCAGGCTTCAGTGCTCTGTTCAACGGCCAAGCATGGATTTAGTCCACTGACTTTGATTCACTCTGGCTTCCTGGAAGCATCTTCTCCAGAAAACCCTCCAGTGTCAGGTTTCCTCTTTCCTGCCTTACGGAAGCAGTGTTCTAAGAGTTGTAGATCTGACTGCTCTTGTCACCTCCAGGGTGAATGATCTGGGGGTCAGACTCTGTCAGCTGTGCTGCAGAAAATGCAGAGACTCTGGGAGCCCTGGGTCTGTCTCCACGTGGTCTCCAAACTGTACCAATTCAGGCCTCCTGCTGTGGTGAGGGGTGGCCTTTCCAAAATCCAGGGCCAACCCTAATCATAAGAAGCTGGTGCACCCCAAGTTGCTGCTACTCCATTGACAAGAGGACACTGCTCTCTGCTTTCCTCCTTCAAAATTTCTCCCTCCCCCTTCCCCAAACCTCCAGAACACCTTCACAGAACAGTTGAAAGCCTCCTTTTTTTAAAAACACAATCACAAACTTCCTACCAATGAAACCATTGATATTTAAATGTCATCTCAATGGTAGCAGACATTTTTAACTTCTTAGTTATTTGAGGGGAGGAGGAGAGGTGAAGATGAGAAACAGTGGATAGCTAAGAGAGAAACTAGTTAGGCTGTCTGGGGTCTACTCTGCATGCATATTACGTTCCATCCTGAAAAAACAGCTTCTCCGGCTGCTCAGAGTTTGCAGGAGCGCTTGGAGGGAAAGGCTCCGAGACCATGTGTGAGGGGGAAAGAGTGACAGGAACTGCACGGAGGGACTTCTGCGACCCCGGCAGCTGTTGGGAGGGAGGTGAGGATGAGCCTGTTGGAGATGGACCGCTCCTGATCGATGCTCAAGATCAGGGAAAGAAAGAAAAGCAGAGAGGGGGGCGAAGGAGAAGAGAGAACACTCTGAGTAACTGCTCTAGGAAGGACTCTGCCTTTGCCCAAGAGACATGCTCCTGTGCCTGCGCCCACTGCCCGCTGTGCTGCTGAGGTTCCCATCTGCTTTTCTCCTTTCCTGCAGGTCCACACAGGAAGTCGAGAACCACACTTGCTCAAGCGTCTTCCCTTCCCGCCCCTTTCTCCCCTGTCCACATTAACACGGAGTACCTTCAGACACGATCGATTGCTCCAGGACCTGGACACACTGCATCCCCGTCAGCATCCTATCTGTAACTAGGGAAGTACGGACCCCCGCTGGAGTCTTGTTTCCATTCAAGAAAGCAAAGATCAAGGTTAGGTGCTCCGTTTTGACAAAAATAAAACAAATTTGAAAACACTGGAGATATGTGGTTTGCTATTTCCCACCTCGACAGCCACAACCTTTTACAAATCTTCGTAATGTTCTGTCAGGTTCCAGATCCAATACCTTGCAGTCATGCAGAGATGCACATAATGGTTATTTATGTGCTTGGCGAGTTTATTTCTCCCATTCTGCTACGGTCATTTGTTTCCACGGGAGGGTGATACATACATTATTGGTTTTCATTTAAGATGCTGCCCTGACATTGTTGTGCTCCAGGATGGGTGGGAGCTGGGAGACAGACCGAGCTCAAGGGTACTCAGCTTAGGAACGGATCGGAGCTGAGGAGCCTGAACTTCCCCTCCTTCCTTTATCCATGTCCTCTCTTTACATCGGTGGCAAACTCTAAGCATTGTGTTTTTGTGCTTTTTGAGTGGGGTTCCAGAAGTGCCCAGTTTAGGAAGGAACTGCCCCTACCTCTGTGCTGGGCTCATCTCAGCCCTCAAACGCTTCAAAGTCTGGAGTGATGGAGTTTCCGCAAAGGAAATCCTGTAAACAAATTAACTCAGTGACCTCAAGAATTCCTTAGGAAAAGTGTGAAAGCCAAGGGACTCAGAATTCAGACAGGCAAACCTTCTCTCCAGTTTGGGACACACCCAGTAGGATGGATTCTACATCGGTCTGCTTCTTTAAAAGCTGGGGTGTCTGAGAGAAAGGAGCATCTTTCTTTCCCAGAGAGAATAAACAGTGGAGGTTAGGGTTGGGTGGTCTTCGCTGGTGGGTCAGATGGTAAAGACCCTGCCTGCAATGCAGGAGACCTGGGTTCGATTCCTGGGTCAGGAAGATCCCCTGAAGAAGGGAATGGCAACCTACTCTAGCATACTTGCCTGGAGAAGTCCATGGACAGAGGAGCCTGGCAGACGGGTTGTGTGAAATTTCCAGAAGTCTCAGGGCATTAAATAGCACAGTAGACTAAAAGACACCAATTACCATTATATTACCATGACAGAAGGATTAAATGTAAACCATCACAAGGAATTTTCATGATCTACACAACTCAATCAGCAAGACAACCATGCCATTTTGGAAGCTAATGGAGGTGCCCCTGCATGCCAAGTAGCAAGACATCCAGGTTATGACTCAGCCTCCCCAGGAACAAGGGTACCCTCCAGCCCCTGACACAAATATTAATATATATCATCCCTAAAAATTAATGCTATGGTATCTTAATAACTCACATTGTAATAGCTCTTTGCAGACACTCCACATAGTAGTTCTCATTAAAATGTTGACACATATTATTGCAAAGCGTTTCTCTTCCAATGATAATTCATCATAATGATAGGAAACCCACAACAGAGAAACATTATTAATAAGCATTTATTAGGTCCCCACCTCTTGCAACTTGCTGAAGAAGATACAGGCAGAGAGGGGAGTTGTACACCCAACTAAATTAAAATCTAAATAAAGGAATATTAATAAAAAACAATGGGCGAGGCTGGTTGTGCGGGTACGTGGAGCAAAGCGCTGGTTATGGAAAGTCCAGCGGCTTTCCCCTCAGTGCAGGGGGATGCACCTGAATGTGCATCTTCAGTTAATAATGACCGCGAATGAGAGGACATTCTCTCTAGCTTATTTCCTTCCCATCCCAGTCCTGTAGGAATAGAATTGAAAATGCAACAACACGTAGAATTTTTTCCACGTTAGCAGTTATTTCTGAGATGGGCTGTGTATGCCAGCCTGTCCTGGTGACATTTCATATCAAGCAAAGGAAATCCTGTAAACAAATTAACTCAGTGACCTCAAGAATTCCTTAGGAAAAGTGTGAAAGCCAAGGGACTCAGAATTCAGACAGGCAAACCTTCTCTCCAGTTTGGGACACACCCAGTAGGATGGATTCTACATCGGTCTGCTTCTTTAAAAGCTGGGGTGTCTGAGAGAAAGGAGCATCTTTCTTTCCCAGAGAGAATAAACAGTGGAGGTTAGGGTTGGGTGGTCTTCGCTGGTGGGTCAGATGGTAAAGACCCTGCCTGCAATGCAGGAGACCTGGGTTCGATTCCTGGGTCAGGAAGATCCCCTGAAGAAGGGAATGGCAACCTACTCTAGCATACTTGCCTGGAGAAGTCCATGGACAGAGGAGCCTGGCAGACGGGTTGTGTGAAATTTCCAGAAGTCTCAGGGCATTAAATAGCACAGTAGACTAAAAGACACCAATTACCATTATATTACCATGACAGAAGGATTAAATGTAAACCATCACAAGGAATTTTCATGATCTACACAACTCAATCAGCAAGACAACCATGCCATTTTGGAAGCTAATGGAGGTGCCCCTGCATGCCAAGTAGCAAGACATCCAGGTTATGACTCAGCCTCCCCAGGAACAAGGGTACCCTCCAGCCCCTGACACAAATATTAATATATATCATCCCTAAAAATTAATGCTATGGTATCTTAATAACTTACATTGTAATAGCTCTTTGCAGACACTCCACATAGTAGTTCTCATTAAAATGTTGACACATATTATTGCAAAGCGTTTCTCCTCCAATGATAATTCATCACAATGATAGGAAACCCACAACAGAGAAACATTATTAATAAGCATTTATTAGGTCCCCACCTCTTGCAACTTGCTGAAGAAGATACAGGCAGAGAGGGGAGTTGTACACCCAACTAAATTAAAATCTAAATAAAGGAATATTAATAAAAAACAATGGGCGAGGCTGGTTGTGCGGGTACGTGGAGCAAAGCGCTGGTTATGGAAAGTCCAGCGGCTTTCCCCTCAGTGCAGGGGGATGCACCTGAATGTGCATCTTCAGTTAATAATGACCGCGAATGAGAGGACATTCTCTCTAGCTTATTTCCTTCCCATCCCAGTCCTGTAGGAATAGAATTGAAAATGCAACAACACGTAGAATTTTTTCCACGTTAGCAGTTATTTCTGAGATGGGCTGTGTATGCCAGCCTGTCCTGGTGACATTTCATATCAGAACTGTGAATGTCGCTGCCTCGATGGAGGGTTGTGATATTACCCAGGTGAGCAGAAACGCTGTAGCATCATTGTGTTCTTTCCATCTTACTTTAATTTCCTCCGCCCAACCCAGCACCTAACACGCTGCCCATCTCCTCTGACCTACTTTGACCAAACGAAATAACATCCATATTTGAAGTGGCTTTTTTCCCCAATCAGGCAAATCCTCTTCAGAGGAGATGCTAGCATTCAATCCAGTCTTTCTGTATTTCTCATGCCATAACCTGAGGTTTGTCTTGCAAATTAAGAATGATTTGGTCTAGGTGAAAGATACCCTCTGGGCTGTTTTTTCCATCCAGCCTGAGTTTACCCTCTCCTGTTCCCCTGCTCCTCATGTCTCAGATAGTTCCTCTCAAGGCGAATGGCTTGGGACATGGATTTTAAAAGCCAATGGCTGGAGGTGTAAGTCTTATAAATTACGTTCTGCTGCATCCCAGCTGTGTGGCCTTGGGAAAGTGACTTGACCTCTCTGAATCTAGTAAAATAAGCACAATAATTCCTCCTTCAAAGAGTGGTTACAAGGATCACATGAGATAATATGTGTCAAGTTTGGGACATGTAATTGACGATCAGTATCAATCACCAATGTCTTGCTTCTGTAATAATCCTGGGGGCCCAGGACCTGTTTGACTCCTGCTCACTTGGCTTTTCATTGCAATCAGTTACTGCAGGTTGTCTTTGTCTGTTTGCTTTTGTGAATGACTTTAAATTAAGAATGCAACAGTTTAAAGTATGTAAAGAGTAAGTGCACAAAATGTGAACATTTTACTCCATTTCAAAATATTGGTATGTTTTGTTTAACTATATACTAGAAAAGCTGAATTTTGATGTGGGCTGCGAATTTAATGACTACAACAATTTTTTTAGACAAAAAGTTATATTTTAGATATTGAGACTAGGCCAAAAAAAGTGTAATTTTCCAATATGACAAAGAAAGGAACATTTTTTTGTGCTGTATATGTGGGCAACTGGGGTGACCAGAATGATTTTTAATAATATTAGTCAAGCTTTAGTGTGTATGGGAATCAGCTCGATATTCCCAGTGCAGACTGAACAACAGCGTGCATTTTGGACAAGCCCATCAGGTGAGTCTCGGGCAGGAGAACCTCACTAGGTCTGAAGCCCATGGTTAGGAAAGGAGATCAGCAACATACCCTGGCTGTCGAAAGTGGTCCTTAGCTCCTGCCTCCCTCCCACTCCTCATCTTCCTTTCCTTCCTCTCCATCTCTCAGTACGGCTTCACCACGAGGCTACAAGAAATGGATTTGGAACTTTCCCCGCCGTATAAATAGTTGAAATGGGAGTATTACAGAGCTGAATGAGAATATCCATGACAAAGGATTCTTTTCCCGAGTAAAGTTAAAATCCTCAGCATCAGAAAAGCTACAAAAGTTAACTCTTTGGTGAAACTCCAGAAACTTCTAAAGTCCCAGACAACTGTGAATGGTGAGCATGTACAAGAAAGAAATGATAAGTAAACCCTAGCTCAACCTAAGGCCACAGAAAGCAAGATTTGATTAAGCTGTACTTAGATGAGTTAAAGATTAGTGAAGAGGTACCTGGATCGACTTAAGCATTTCTATATTCCCCAAATAATGGCTTTCACACTTTTAAAAAGCTATGTGTATTGGTCAGGAGAGGCCGGGTTATGCTGCAGTGAAAAATCAACTCTCAAATTTCAGTGGCTTAAAGCAACACATTTTTATTTTGCTCTGTTCTGGAGTCTAGGGAGTTCAGGACGAAGGTGTGGGCAGACACAGTGTCTGATGACAGAATTTTTCCTGATTCTTAGATGGTGGTTGTCTCCTTGCTGTGTCCTCACATAGCCTGGAGCAGAGGGAAGCAAGATTTCTCTCATTTCTTCTTAGAAAGAGAAGAGCATCAGTTCCATCACAAGGACTCCCATAGTTCTCATCAAATATCATCACATTGAGGACTGG